GTTTTCTCCGGGTGCTCTGGTTTCCCCCACAGTCCAAATACATGCGCTAAAGGGGAATTGATGAACTAAACTGATTGTGGGTTTAAATGTATGGGTGAGAGTGTATGGGTGTTTCCCAGTACTGGGTTGCAGCTGGAAGGGCATCCATAAAATAAAGGGGCTAAGCCGAAGGAAAATGGATGTCAATTATATAATTGTATTTCCTAGTAGTTGTAAGTATGTCTTTGTGGTTGCTATAGGGTGTTTTGATTGGTTGCTAGGGTGTTAGCCCATCCCAGGTCTCCAGGAATTAGAATGGGAGATAATAAAATGTTAACCATAAATTACAAAAATTCCAATCACTCAGAAAAGTCCAAATGGGGTTATTATAGTTTGTTATAAACATTAAACTGTTTTTAAAAATCATAGTTTTAAAGAAAATAAACAAACAAAAAAGTACAATGATAATAATAATAATAATAATAATAATAATAATAATAATAATAATGACGATAATAATAAGAATAAAAAAATATATAATATTATGATGATGATGGTGCCAATGATAATTAAAAAATAAATAAATAAATAAGAAGAATGATGATGATGCCGATGATAATTAATAAATAAATAAATAAATAAATAATAATGATGATGATGATGATGGTGCAGATAATAATAACAATAAAAATAATAATAATATTATAATGATGATGATGCCAATGATAATTAAAAAATAAATGAATAAATAATAATAAAAATAATGATAATGATGATAATGCTGTTAATAATAATAATAATAATAATAAAAATAATATGATGATGATGCAGATGATAATTAAAAAATAAAATAAATAATAATAATATTAAGAAGAAGAAAAGATGATGATGATGATGCTATAATAATAATAAAACTGCAATAACAACAACAATAATAACAATGACAATAATAAAATAATGATAATAATAATAATGACAATAATAATAAGAAGAAGAATATAATAGCAGTATTTATTATTATTATTATTATTATTATTATTTATTGTCATTATTGTTGTTGTTATCATTATTATTGTTATTTTTGTCTTTATTGTTGCATCTTTTCTAAACCAAAGTTTATACACAAAAATAATAATTATAAAAACATATTCAATTATAATAAAATATTATTAAATTATTTGAATTTTAATTATCGAAAAAAATATATATACACAAATAATAAAAAGTAATATAATTTAATTTAAACAATTATTTTAAAAAAAAACTACTAATTATTTATAGCTATGTGTTACGATAACCAGCGATCATTCACTGGAGATCGCTGGTTTCCACTTTCATTATGAACTTCACTTCCGCATTCCCCAGGACTACATTTCCATACATGCACTTCTTCCAATCACGCACGCCTGGTCACTCATCTTCCTGATTACATCACCAGCTGAAACCTGTTACAGAGACTGATTACACACAGTATTTAAGCAGGACACACACTCATTCACATTGCCGAGTCTTGTTCACTGTAAAGTAGCATTACAACGTGTTTTCCTTGTCTTGTTTTCCTGTTTTGAACCTAGCCTTGTTTATTTAGTTATCCTTGTCTGCCGCCTGCCTTTCGACCTCTTGATTGTTATACTGACTACGATTCTGGATTGTCCTCACATACCTGTTTGCTCCCGTATTGACCACTGCTTGCCTGACTGTGAATAAACCTGCATTTTGGATCCTACCTTCTGTTGTGGTGTTACTCCCCGGCGTTACACAATGTAATGATAATAATTTTTTAACATTTAAAAACTAAGCTTGATATTTCCTAGACATCCCCTTTAACCAACTCCATAGTAAATCATTTTAGACAAAAGCATCTGCTAAATGACCATGTAATCACAATTATTTTGGAGCAGACACTTTTCATTCATTGATTCATTCATTCATTTTCCTTTGGCTTAGTCCCTTTATCGCCACAGCGCAACACTGGGAGAACATGCAAACTCCACACAGAAATGCCAACTGGGACTCAAATCTGCAACCTTCTTGCTGTGAAGCGACAGTGCTAACCACTGAGCCACCGTGTTGCCCTTAGACAATTTACAAACATCTATTAATACACATTTTGGTACATTTTTCATCTTACATAAGCAAGTGAAAGCAGATATTCACTAATGCAGATCTCAAAACAACCGATATACAAGCCTATCACAAATGACAGTTTCCAAATATAATACAACCAAGCCTTAAATGAGTTATAACCTGCATTCAACAAAGACAAATGAAGCCATCAACAAGTCAAACGCTGAGCTCCAGAAGCACTAAAGCAAACCACAGGAAAACAACACGACTGTCCAAAACCTGCGGCTGAAAATAAATGAAACTGCAGTTGATGCGAGTCCGTCTGGATGGACAGAATGATCGTGCATCGCCTCGGGAAACTGAAAATCAATTTAACCCAGACTGACAGTGTTTACTGGCCACCTCCAGGCCTTTCACAACACAGACACGCTTCTGTGGGCTTTATCTCACTATTAAAACAGCATCAGGTGGAGCCCGACTGTCAGCAGGCCCCCAGGGCACGACCGGAGAGCAGGGTGTGTCTGCAAACGCCCACAAATACGTCACAAACCGAACAAAAGAGCCATCAGCAACCTATATATCCACTGTTGTGGGTTATAAATGGCTGCAGGATTCTATATAGATGCCTGTCCAGTACTTTAAAAAGCTGAAGGGATTTCTTTTTCACGTACCTAACATGCCTGAGAAGCTTACAGCTCCCTTGGTGACGATCAATGAGGGTATTTTCTCATTAGTGAACAAGACGGAGCTTTTTTTACATCATTACCATTCCCAGAGGAGCTTAAGTGAACAAACGGGAGGTCAGTGAACACAAAGAGACTGAGGGAGAAAGCAGCAGAGGCTTCAGTATGAACTAGATCCTGGGTTTTTCCACAGGGGTTTTCCAGACGATTAAACCTGGGTTGTGCTGGAAATGGAAAATTAGCTGTATGCTGTATTTAAAAACATTATATAAATTAGTATGCAGTAGACAATGATAAGCAATTCAAACAGCAGCGCGCTGTGCAGTTATCTCATGAGCTTGTTATATTTTCCACAGCTTTCCATCTTGAAACAAAGAGGATTATTTTTAGAATCACTAAAATTCAATGTGATAAAACTTAATAAAATACAAATAAAAAAATGCAGTGTTATGAATTTAAATGAAATAAAATAAAATTAGTTTATCAATGCGGCACTAAATACAACAGAATAAAAAATGTAATCAATAAAACATAACAAAAAAGTCAAACAAATCGCAATAAAATGCTGTGAATTAAAATTAAAAATGCAATGCAATCAAACAAAAATAATATAATAAATAATATTATATATATATATATATATAATATGTAAAAAAAAATGTATGTATATATACATATATATATATATATATATATATATATATATATATATATATATATATATATATATATATATATATATATACACATTATATAATATAAAATAATATAATAAATATAATAACAATTGAATTGCAATGCAATAAAGCAAATGCAATGCAACACAAGAAAAAGAGGACAAACACGTCAAACATGGACATACACAACCCTAAACACTGAGCTCTGTCCTGTAACACGCAACCTGACAAGGTTCCAGCGACAAATTTGTCTGTCTGCACCAACGATGAGACAACAGAAACATTTCAATACCAGCCATTCATTAAAATAGCAGCCGCTGCACTCCTGACGAGATGGTGAGGGTTATAATCTGATTAATGCATATTAAACCATTCATTCAATTTCTTCCACTGCAGTAAATCTAAATAAATTAAACAATGAAGTGCAGTGCAATAAGACTAAATGTGATGCAATAAAATAAATACAATAAAATAAAATAAAAACATTAATTATAAAAGACTGCAAAAAAATGAGGTGAAATAAAATGCAATGCAATAAATACATTTAAATGCAATAAAAAGCAGTGTAATAATATAAAATAGTGCAGTGCAATAAATTAAATCAATTAAACAATAAAGTGTGATGAAATATTGCAAAATGCAATGGAATAATTTATTGAAATAATAATTAAAAATGTAATAAAATGCAACACAGCCCAACATATTGCAATGCAATAAAGTAAAAAACTGTAACAAAATGCAGTGAAATTTTAAAATGCAATGCAATAAAACTAACTGTGATAAAATTAAGTGCAATAGAATAAAAAATGCAATGAAATAAAATAAAATAAAAATGAAGTGCAATGCAATAAAGTAAAGTAAAACAAACTGAAATAGAATGAAATGAAATAAAATTAAAAAAAACCCACCATGGTTAAATAAACTATCTGCAATACAATGCAATGAAGTAAGGTAAAAAATGCAGTGCAATAAATTAAAAATGATAGTGCAATGCAATATAATAAAATAAATTAAACATCGAAGTGCAATGCAAAATAAACTGCAACACAAGCCAAGAAAGTGTAACACAATAAAGTAAAACAAATAAAATGCAGTGAAATAAAATTTAAAAATGCACTGCAATACATAATTGACTGATAATGGAGAAAAAACTGTGATAAATTTCAGTGCAATAGAATAAAAAACGCAATGCAATGCAATAAAATTAAGTAAAATAAAATAAAAGTAATAAATTAAAAGTAACTACAATCAAATGAGGTAAAAAAAAAATGTAAAAACGCAAATAAATGCAGAGCAATTAAATTACATAAACACAGTGCAATGTAATAAAATTAAATCAATTGAACAAATGGAGTGCTTTAAAATAAAACTAAATATAATCAAATTTTTAAAATTCAATAAAATACAACACAACCCAACACAGAGCACTGCATTATAATAAAAATAAATGCAATAAAACAAAATCAAGTGCAATACAATAAAAAAATCTAATCTTCAATACAATATATATATATATATACACAATGAATAATAAAATAAATCAATCAATCAACAATTTCACCAAAGCAACAGTAGAAATCCAGCGCTGCCTTACCGAGACCTCAAAGACTTCCTGAGTGTCGTCCAGCATCTGGACACGGATGGAGATCTGTCTCCCGGGGGGCATAGTGGGGGGCCGCTGCCCAGGCTCCAGTGTGCTGATGCCCAGACTCTCAGGTGCCCCGAGTCTCTGCCCCGCCACCGAGGGCCGCTCCTCTGGCTCCACCATACTGCAGCAAACCCACCTGACGACACAGGAAAAAGAGGACAAACACGTCAAACGCTAAACACTGAGCTCTGTCCTGTAACACAACCTGACAAGATTCCAGCAATTTGTCCGTCTGCACCAAACGTGACAAGACAGAAACATTTAAATACCAACCAATGCTCTCCTGACGAAATGGTAAGGGTTATAATCTAAGTGCATATTAAACCAATTTAACATTATTAATAGGCTACTGAGTGACTGATGTTGCGGTTTGCACTCACTTTCGTTTTCAAGCCACTTGCTAGCTATTTTATTATCATGATCTGAGGTGAACGATCTGCTGCTGCTTTCAGTATGGCAATAAATGACACCTGAAGTGGTGGTAAAATCACATTGGGAGCATTTCATACTGAATAAAGCCCATAATCAGTACCTGAGGTAGAGCTGCACGATTCTGGCTAAAATGAGAATCACGATTTTTTTGCTTAAAATAAAGATCACGATTTTCTCACGATTCTGTAGATGTAAAATAAAGGTATGGTAAAAACAAACATATGGCACAACATCGAGAATAATATTATGTTTAGGTCTACTGCTTTCTATAAATAATTCTATTCTAATAATAATAATTATTCTGATGTTGAATTATTATGTTTGAGATATATGCTTGCAATCTGTCATATTAGACAATTTTATTCACTGGTAAAATCAGACATTTGCCATTATCAGATTATATTCAACAATATATTTTGGTTCGCTATGAAAGAAAAAACATATCAAATGCTTGTCGTAATCATAATGCGATATGATCATTTAAATGAAGTGCACACTTTCGGTTTCATTTTGACTGCTAAGTGCCGCCTCTGTCCCTCTGTGCCACAAACTGAATGTTATTAGGCTGGCTTGTGTAGCAAGCCAGACTATTGTTATCCTATTTTTCTTCTGAGATTAAAAATTAAACTCTATCTCCATCTAGAGCTTTCAAGCTATGACCACCAAACTCACACCAGACCTCCAAACTGGTCTGACTCGGGTTGCTATATCTTTTCCGACTGATCCGACTTTCGGTTTTCTGAAAAACGTCCCGGGACGGTCAGAAAAATTCCATTGACTTAACATTGGATCAAACTTTGTGACCACATAACTCTGCATCAGACTGTCCTACAGACTTATAACTGGGCTCATTTAACTCAGACTACCTGACTACCAAACTACCAATAACTGATGAGCTATTAACTTTCTAGCCACACCCCTAACAACCAAATACGGCACCCTAGCAACGGTCCCATAGACTACCATTATAGAGGTTCAGATTGATTGATATCGTCATGCTGCAGTGTGATAGAGGCATGTGTTGCTTTTAACTGTTCATACTGGCAAGAAGCTTTGATACATCATCAGTCTATCTATCTATCTATCTATCTATCTATCTATCTATCTATCTATCTATCTATCTATCTATCTATCTATCTATCTATCTATCTATCTATCTATCTATCTATCTATCTATCTATCTATCTATCTATCTATCTATCTATTATCTATTATCTTTTCATACTTTTAAAAACTGTTTAAACTAAATAAACTATTACCATCAGGCTTTCACAAGCCAGCCTCAAAGTTTGTCCTCAAACTTTAAGAATCTAGTTTGCAACTGTGTTACCTGTTACTTGCAACATATGCAGGTTTTGTTCACTAAAGTAGACGTGCGCGCGTCTATCATTAAGTAGAGCGCGCGCCTTCTCTGTGATAACAGCTCACGGTCAGCAGCTCACGTCACATGTGATTTCCCGATCGCGAAAACATCATTATATTAGAACAAAACTTACATTTTTAGGTGAATTACACCTTATAAATACAGTATGTGACTCGTTCAACATCATTTGGAGGTGTCCATGTCGCTGAGCAATGCATGTGAAACAATAAAAAGACTCGTGCAGCCGTCTTTTCTTCTCTACTGAATTTTAAAGTATGATTGACAGAATTGTAGAAATGCTGGATTAAGATCGTCTTGGGGGTGGAATCGAGATCGTGATCTTTTAACGATTAATTGTGCAGCTCTAACCTGAGGTGATCATTGTCATTGTAGTTTCAAGAGTTCACACTTAGCTGATGATTTACAAAGCTTATTTGGCATGCTGTCCTGGGAGAGAGCCCCGAGCTCAAGGGCTCATCGAGCCCGGGGCTTCCTCCCGTTGGCAGAGCAAGAAGGGAGCCCGAGCTCGGTGGATCTCAGAACTCCCCTGCTGCTGTAGCTAAGGGAACGTAAGGAATTAGACAAGCTTGATTGTTATGTATGTTGAATGTCTTTGGATGGTGGGAGGAAACCGGAGAACCCGGGGAAAACCCACGCGGACACGGGAAGGACATACAAACTCCCCACAGAAACACCCACCGGTCCTAAAGGACTAGGACTGGCAGTATTCTTGCTGTGTGGTTCGCAGTGCTAACCACTGGACCGCCGTGCCGCCCAATCACAGGTAAAGGAGGAGAATAGGGGAGGAGGGGGGTTTCTTCCAAACGAAGATAAAGTGAACTGAAAACTGAGGCTATTTATGGTGCCTTAGGGCTCATATGATTGGAAGATTAGTGATTAGCAAATACGAGACTGGCCGTGATAAATCATAAGCACGTGATCCTCTCGAAATTAGTTTAAGAATAAACTTCACTTATGCTGTTGTTTTGCAATAATTTAGAAAAACTAGACATGCTGTGGGTTGCCATTGAAGATGGTAATTCTTTATATCCTTTTATCGTGTGTTTTGGTGTCGCGGTGCATGTAGTTATGACGCTGTAGTGTGAGGCTGCACCAGAAACAGCTGGAATTTCAAGCTTGTGCTGCTCTGGAAAATGCCATGGATGATTTATGATTCCTGAAATGTGTATTTCTGCAGTAAACTCACTCTCACACACACATGCTCATGTTCTGCATGGCTGAGAATTATCCCCACAAACACTGTTAGTTATTATGAGCAGACCTCGGACAACCACTGGTGAAGGAGTGAAATGCATTAAACAAACAAGACATGTTTGGAAACACAATAGTAACTGCATAGCATTAAAAATAAAAGGCAAACAATTAAATGGAGAGAATGACTGCCTTTTGTCTCTGAGAAACCAAAATGTGGACATATAACAGACCTTATTATAGTAAAGGGATAGTTCACGCAAAAATAAAAAATTTGACTTGCGTAGGAGGAAAAACAAATACTCTGGAAGTCAATGGTCACAGGTTTCCATTCATTCATTCATTTTCTTTTCGGCTAAGTCTCTTAATTAATCCGGGGTCGCCACAGCGGAATGAACCACCAACTTATCCAGCACACGTTTCACGCAGCAAATGCCCTGCCAGCTGGGAAACACCCATACACACTCAAATACTAAGGACAATTTAGATTACTCAATTCCTCTGTAGAGTTCCTCTGTACTGTGTTTGGACTATGGGGGAAACCGGAGCACTTGGAGGAAACCCACGCAAACGCAGGGAGAACATGCAAACTCCACACAGAAATGCCAAATTACCCAGCTGAGGCTTGAACCAGTGACCTTCTTGCTGTGAGGTGACAGCACTACCTACTGCGCCACTGCATGCCTCTACAGGTTTCCAGTATTTTTCTAAATATCTTCTTTTACGTTTAGCAGAAGAAAGCATCTAATAATGGTTCATAAATAGTAACTGGTGAGTAAATTATGACAGAATTTTCATTTTTGGGTAAACTTCCCTTTAAACTTTCTCATAAAATGTTTCAGAGCTTCTTGCATTTATACATTCCTGAAATATGATGGATGCACTAATTAATAGTTAGTCCATAATGTCATAAAATAAAATATAATTAAATAAAAAAAATGAATAAAATCCAATATTAAAAGTGCAATAATTTGAAACATAAAAAATGCACAAAAATATTTAAAAAGTATGATGTAATATATTAAAGAAAATGCAATTCAAAATTAAATTTAAAAAGGCTATGCAACAGAATGCAATGCAATAAATGCAAAAAAATAAATAATAGAATGAATTAAATAAAACTAAATTCTTTAAAAGAAGTATAAGTGTAATGAAAAATCAACAAAATGTTTAATGCAATAAAATAAAAAGGAAACATGTAAAAGTAATAAAATTAATAGATAAAAAAAATAGATTAGATAAAAACCTAATGTTATAAAATCTAATAAACACAACATACAAATACAAAATGCAGTGCAATAACATGCAATAATGCAATTTTGTAAATATTATGCACTAAAAAAAAAATTAAATGCAGCAGATATCCAGATGGATGTGGGCATTCATAATCACCCTTTACCATCACACACAGTCAAAAAAAAAAAAAAGAGGAAAAAAAAAACGAAATCTAGTCAAATAAAACAGTACAATTTTCAAGATGTAAACTTATTTGACTTATTTATTTAAGAAAAAAAATAGATAAGATCGTAAATAAAATAAAATAAACCTAGAAATAAAATAAAATTTTAAATAAAATACAAAATACAAAAAATAAATAAATTAAAATTAACTTAAATTAATAAGTATTTTTTGGTTTATTAAATAAAATTTAAAAATACAAAATAAAATACAAAATAAAAAATAAAAAAATAAAATACAAAATAAAATTAAATAATAAAATAAAATACAATAAAATAAAATATATACAAATTGAAATAAAATACAAAATAAAATACAAAATTAAATTAAATATACTAAATTAAATACTAAATAAAAAAATAAATATAATAAAAAATTGAAATAAAATAAAAATTTGAAATAATATGAAAAATAAAATACAAAATAAAATTTTATAAAAATTTGCAATAAAATTAAAAATACTAAAAAAAAATCTAAATAAAATAAAACAAAATAAATAAAAACATTTTTAAATAAGTCAAATAAACAAAATGTTATAAAATGTAATTAACAAATAGTGCAATACAAATAAACAATGCAATAAAATGCAATGTAAACAATTATACACAATAAAAAACTAATATGCAGCCAGATATCCAGATGGACGTGAGAACGTGTCTCCATCAAACCCT